TTTTGGAGCAGTCTTTTGATGCGCGTAAGAATTTAATTTTTAAACGGTCCCAGTCATCTAATATGGTGGTTATGTTTGTGTGTCAACTTGGCCAGGCCGGGTTGAGTGGCTGGGCAGCTGAATGTAGTTATTCCCCATGATGAGACTGGCAATCATCTCCATGGTGGGACCTACCACAAGCAGCTGAGTAGCTGGTTTAGGGAGGTGGTCTACTTCCTGTATATAATAAACATCTTTGGGAATGGTCTCTAGCTTATGGCATGCTTGGACCCTGCATATAGCCATGTCCTTGTTCAGCAGCCTGCCATGCTCTGCTGATCATGGGACTTTCAATAGCCTTGAATTAGTGGCCTGCCGTGTGGTTTGGTAACATCGGGACTGTGCCATTTGATTTGTTGACCTTGGACTTGTTAGCCTCAGAAGCCAGTAGCCGCCTGAGTGAAGAGATGCCTCTAGCTTCAGTGGGCTGGGAGCAAGAGGCAGAGCTGAAGCCCAAGGTCAAGGAGTTTCCACACAGCCCCTAGAGCCTAGCACTTGGAACTCGGACTTAAAGCCTCCAAACTGTAAAAGAATAAACTCCTGTTTGTCAAGCCATCCCATTTGTGGTATATTCTTGTCAGAGTGGCACTAGGTAACAAGAACATCTAGCTTCTCTTCCACTGCCTCTACATTCTGGGTTATGCTTGAGTCTATCTATGCCATAAATTGAAGTCCCTAGATTTGCCCCTATTTTACCTTTGATAAGCTTTATTGTTTTGGGTTTTACCTTTAAGTCTTTGATCCAACTTGAGTTTCTTTTTGTGTATAGGGTGAGGTATGGGTCTTGTTTCATTTTTCTGCAGGTGGATATCCAGTTTTGCCAGCACCATTTGTTGAAAAGGCTTTCTCTCCCCCATTTAAAGGGTTTTGGTCCTTTGTCAAAGATCAGCTATCCATAGATGGATGGGTCCCTTTCCGGGTTTTCTATTCTGTTCCATTGATCTATCTGCCTATCATTGTACCAATAGCACCCTTTTTTTACTACTGTGGCTGTACAATAGGTTTTGAGATTCAGCACGTTTTTATATTCTGTGTTTTTATCAGTTTAAAATATTTTCTTATATTTCTTATGATTTCTTCATATTTAGAAATATGTTGTTCAGTATCCAAATAGTTGATGTTTTCCTGGTTAGCATATTGATGAATTCTCATTTAATTCCACTGTGGACAGAGCACATAATCTATATAATTTCAATCTTTTAAAATTTGCAAGAGATTTTTTTTATGACCCATAATATGGTTATCCTGGTAAATGTGCCATTTGGACTTAGAAATAATATTATCTTCTTGTTGGGTGGAGAGTTCTGTAAATATCAATAAATCTATTCCACATGAATCCACACTACTGTGTGTTCCATAATGACTGCACTTAGTCTAAAACTTGTGGATATATGGATTTTCATAAATCTACCTGTCTTGACTTCACCAAACAAGTATGAACCACCCAGCAAAATACATCCGTCCCTGTTCATTCTCCAATACTCTCAGGTGGTTGCTTTTTGAGTTATGTCCAGTTTTTGTAATTGAGTTTTGGCAGGGGCGGTTGTCATGTAGGATCTTAGTCCATGGAAACAGCCAAATCCTTTTGATTCATAATATGGTCTATAATACACATATCATAATTTGTTCAAATGCTCACATATTGATAGGCTTTCTGGTTGTTCTTTGACACAAAAATACAAGAATTGCCATGTGAGATTTACATTTTCTCTTCTGAGAGTTAGCTTGTGATATCCTTTTCCCATTTTTATGTTTGTTTGCTTAATGTCACTTTGAGCTTGTAGGCTTTTTAAAATTTTCTCTGAAATCAGTAGATGCTTTTATTATATTTTTTAATTTAAAATCCCTTCAACCATATCAAACCTGTCTCTTAATTATCCTTCTATTTTCCCTCCTCTCTCATCCCTGATAACCAAGAAAGAAAATTTCCTTCCCTGTATAAACCTTTCCTTGACTTTTCACAATAATGGAGGCATACTAAATTTGTTCTGTGGTTGACTTAATTCATTCAGCATAATGTCCTCAAGGTCATCCACATTATGGGGTGATTCACTGATTGTTCATTATTCTTTAATGTTGCATGGTACTACTTTGTGTGTATGTTCTCTAGCTTGGTTATTCAGTCATCTGTTGATGGGCACTTAGGTTGTTTCCATCTCTTTGGTATGGTAAATAGTGCTATGACGAATATGTATGTGCATGTATATGTTTGTGTCCCATATATATTTTTTTCTTGTTTCTCTAGGATATATACCTACTACTGGGATTGCTGGATCATATGGCATTTCTATTTCCAGTGTTTTAAGGAGGCACCATATTTTTTCCACAGTAGTTGTACCATTTTACAGTCCCACCATTAGTATATGAGAATTCCAATCTCTCTACACCCTTGCCGACATATTATTTTTGTCCTGTTGAACGTTGCTGGAGGAGAAGCTCTTTTTCATATTGATGATAACCCTTTATTTGCCAAAGGTAAAATAAATGAGTTCTAAGATAATAGATAAGTCTTTCCTTTTTTTTTTTCTCCTCCCCAAAACCTCCTGCTCCTCTGTTATGACACCTGCAGTGTTTCTTCCTACAGCAGGCCTCCACCAAACCCAGGCTCCATTAAGACCCATGTTGCCACCTCCAGGCCAATTGGAACAAAATAACTATTTTTTTTCCTTCTCATAAATTCCTATTTGTCTACCTTCTAGTTAGTGGTTTATCCTCCCTTCCCACCCCTAGTAACCGCCAAAGACAATTTCTGTTGTTGTGAAACCTCTTTCTTGACTTTTACAGTGGTGTTCTCATACAATTTTTGTGCTTTTTTGACAAAAATTTTACAAATCATACTGATCATATAGGACAGAGTAGAAATGCTCCCCCCATCAGGTTTCCAAGGTTGCAGATCTTTACCAAAGAAGACAACCTCATCTTTCTCCCATAGAGAGGTTGGTGGGTTTGAACCATTGACCTTTTGGTTAGAAGCTGAATGCATTAATTACTGCCCAACCAGCACTAGTTGAAATCAACTTGATGGCACTTGGTTTGACGTTTTTGGTTTTAACTTCCCTCAGCATAATGGGCTGTAAATTCACCCATATTATGAGAAGTTGCACAGATTCATCATTGTTCTTTAACATTATGTACTGTTCTGTTGTTTGTATGTAGTATAGTTGTTTAATCCTTTCATCCATTGATGGGCATTTAGGTTGTTTCCATCTTTTGTTGTTAATGTGCATATATCTGTATCATGGCACTTATTATTTCTCTGGGATATATACCTAGTAGTAAGATTGCTGGATCGTTTGGTATTTCCATTTCCAGCTTTTTAAGGAAGTGCCATAACATTTTACAAAGGTGGTTGCACCATTTTACTCTCCCGCCAGCAGTGTATGAGGTTCCAATCTCTCCACACCCTCGCCAGCCTTCTTCTTATTATTTTTTTAATTTGGCTACTAGGGTTGAGGTGATACCTCATTTTGTTTTCATATATATTTGTCTAATAGGTAATGGTCATGAGAATTTCTTCACATGCTTGTTAGCTGCCTAATGTCTTCTTTGGTGATGTGTCTGGTCATATCCCCTGCCCATTATTAATTGGATTATTTGGGGGTTTTTGTTGCTGTTGTTAAACTTTTCTATTAATTTCATAGATTAGCCGCTTGCCCAATATGTCACTGCCAGGATTCTTTTACAAGTCTATGTGCTCTCTTGACTCTTTTAGTGAAATCTTTTGATGAGTATGTCTAATTTTTAAGAGGTCCCAGTCATCTATATTGTCTTCTAATGTTTGGGTATTTTATGTTATATTTGATAGTGTATGTATGACCCAACTCAGCACCCCTAAGTTTGTGCCTATTTTCTCTTTGATGTCTTTATTGTTTTAGGTTATCCATTCAGGTCTTTAGGAGCTCGACAGCACATAACAACAATAACATGTGGAACTCAGAACTTGTGTCATAGGCTTCAGAATAATCAATGTGCTATTGGAATTCATAGTTACAAGTCTAAATTACATCATACAAGGAAAAAATGGAGAACGGCAAGGGTCTAAGAGAGTTGACCCTTCATTCAAATTAACACTTCAATGTATAGAATTCTGCTGAAGGAGATGGATAAGGAAGGAGATTTAGTCAAATAATCATTAAAGTAACAGTAAATAGACATGGAATGTTAATGAGCAGTGAAATGGAACATAATATTGATATATGCTACAATATGGATGATTAAGGCAAAGAAGCCAAATGAAAAGACCCTACAAACTATATGGTACCATTTATATAAGCTGTTCAAAAAAAAAGGCAAGTTTATAGGGAAAAAAGAAAATAGCCATTGCCTGGTATGAGGATAGAATGGGGATTGACTGGAAATGAGCATGAGAGATCTCAGTGGCGTGATGGGAAAATTCTAAAACTGTATTGTGGTATTAGTGGTTGCACAATACTAATTACTAAAAATCATAGAATTGTATATACAAGCTGGATGAATTTTAATGTCTATAAACTACTCCTCAGTAAAGGTATTGTAGAAAAACAGTAAACTCTGGTAAATGTGGTATAATTGGAGACAAGAAAATTAGATTTTTGTAAAAGTAGTTTGCAGTTTACAGTGAAAAGCATTGCTAAAGGTTAAAATATAATGACACTGGCTTTGGCAAAATGAGATTTGATGACTGTGATAACAATAAAGACTAAGCACTAATCTTTTAGCAAAATAGTGATTATTTCCTCACAGTCCTCCATTTTGAGCCTTGTCTTTGTACTCTCATTAAAGTAGAGAAACTTTAGATTATGTTGTCAAGTTGTATAAATATTAAGACTTTATTTTTTAGTTTTTGAGTTTATTGATTAATTTGGAAAGTAATTGCATATTTAAAATACTTATTCTTCCCTTACAGTAATACGCAAGGAATATTCCAGCTGCTGACCTTTTGACTACAACATCTCCGGATTACATCTAATTGAAAATCAACCATGAGCTCTGAAGAAAATTTGAATGAAGGAAACATTGCTGAGCACCAAAGCAAGTACATTCAGAAAGAAAATTATGTTACTGCTTTATTAAGGTCAGAAGAGGAACTGGGCACATCTGTCTATAGGGACGAAGTCTCTCAACTCCTGGACAAAATAACTTTTTTAGAAAATGCTCAGAAACCTGCTGGATCCTTGAGCAGTAATATTCAACCTAGAAGTTCAAACTCAATCATTTCTCAAATTGTTTTTGTACCTCTGGAGGAGAGAAAGTGTCGGAATCAGTTTGATGAAGGTAGATGGACAAAATTCTGTGAAGATATCATGCAAAGGACTGGAGCCAATCTACAACAATTAACGTTGGTCAAAGACCAAGGCCTCTACATTGGAGTCTCTGGTAAACCAGAAACTGTTAGAGAAGCTCAGATGATTCTTTCCCAGTTTCAGGAAGAAGTTTCGACTACAGATTCCATTCCCAGAGGCAAGACAAGGGAAAAACTGGAAGCCTTGGAACAAAGTGCTACCAACATGCAAATGCTACGTACTGATAACCAGCAAAACTGGATCACCAAAGCTGGCACCAAAGGAAGTACAAAGGAAGAGGCACAGGATGTTTTTCTTATGTCTACTGAACAAGACAAGTGTGCTGTAGAGAGGCTATATATGGAAAAGTTGTGTCATCCCTTTGTTTCATGGTCATACAGTAGGACTGTTGACAAAACCATGCAGGAAGAAGAGGCATATATACATATTGCACCACCTAGTGCCAACCACACAGAGGTAGTGTTTACTGGAAAGAAGCAAAAGCTGTATCAGTCTGTGGTTCCTGTAAAGGAGTTTTTTGAGGATACCAAAAAGAAAACAACAGCCAGAGCTGTGGAGATGAAATGTCAACACAGGTGTACTATAGGGCCTATGAGCAATTGTTTGCAGGAAATCCTGGAAAATACTGGAGTTTCAATAGAAATCCTACCCTTAGAGTGCATGTCAGATTCTGAGACACTCGAAGGAGAGCCTGAAAGCTCAGAGAGGGCATTTAGTAAGGTCTGTTCAAAAGCCACGGGTTACACTATTTCCTCAATTTCTGCACCTTCCTGGATTCATAGATTTATTGTTGGTAAAAACGGTCAAAATATATCGAGAATAACTCAAAACACACCAAGGGTTTTTGTAGAGTTTACTACAGATGATACGATTATCATAAAGGGACCTAGAGGAGATGTGAATTACATTCGAGAACAACTTGAGGTCATCGTCAAAGATCTGACTGACAGGATGAATTATGAAGAGATCAGTATTGACTATAAGTTTCACAGATATCTGATAGGGAAGAATGGTGTCATCATAAACCAAATTAAAGAGAAAAATAAAGTTTCTGTGCTAATCCTTCCTGAAATTGAAAAGAATAACTTGATCAGAATTGAAGGAGAATCTCATTGCGTCCAACAGGCTAAGAGAGAACTTATGGAACTGGCTGCTTATGTGGAAAATGAGCAGAGCAAAGACTTAATTATTGAGCAAAGATTTCATCACACAATCATTGGCAAGAAAGGTCAACGGATTCGTGATATCCGTAAGAAATTCCCAGAAGTTACGATTAATTTTCCTGATCGAGCACAAAAGAGTGACATTGTCCAACTCAGAGGGCCCAAATATGAATTAGAGGAATGCACAAAATATTTTGATAACATGGTGACAGACCTTACAGAAAATAGCTATTCCATAACTATTCCCGTATTCAAAAGGCTTCACAAGGATATCATTGGAAAAGGAGGTGTCAAAATCAACCGTATCCGTGCAGCAACCAACACCAAAATTCATCTTCCATCAGCAAGTAGCAACTCAGAGAATATTGTTATCAGTGGAAAACGGGAGAACTGTGAAGTAGCTTATAACTGGATTCTTTCCATGCAGAATGATATGAACACTATGTCAGAGGTGAAATTCTCTATTCCTTCCAGGCTCCATAAAGTCCTTGTAGATCCCAATGACTGTTTGATTGATTCAATCATGGAAGAATGTGGAGGGATCTCCATTCACTTCACAAGACACAGCTCACATCTTCCACAAGTCATTATTAGGGGACCTGCCCAAATTATTGAGAAGGCTAAGAATAAGCTGCTGCAACTAGCAGAAGAAAAAAAATGCAAGAGTTATAGTGTGGGCCTCCATGTCAAACCACAGTATCACAAATTCCTCATGAGTAAAAATGGTGGCAATGTTCCCAAAATCTCTCATGACACTGGAGCATGTGTTATTTTCCCTATCAATGAAGATAAGGATCCAGAACTGGTAACTATTACTGGGACACAGGAGGCTGTTAAAGATGCACAAAAGGAGCTAGAGGTTCTAATTAAGAACCTAGACAATCTTGTGGAGGACCACATCCTGGTAAATCCCAAGTACCACCGTCACTTTACCATGAGAAGGGGCCAGGTTTTACGAGAGATGAGTGAGGAGTATGGTGGTGTGATTATTAATTTTCCATATTCAGAAAAAAAGAACAGTGTCACAATCAAAGGAGCAAAACTCTGTGTGGAGGCAGCCAAGAAAAGAATCCAGGAAATTATTGGCAATTTGCATACCCAAGTCACAACAGAATATGTTATTCCCCAAAAGTTCCATCATTTTGTCATGGGACAAATGTATTCCCGAGTCCGACAAATCAGTAGCGATTATAATGTTGAAATCAAATTCCCAGACAGAGAGGAAAAGCCAGTCAGTAATATAGAGCCAGCTGCTTGGGAAGATGAAGAAGACATTGGGAATTGGAACTCTAAAGAGGCTGATTCTATTTCTCCACATAAATGTGACACTATATATATTGTAGGTAGAAAGGAAAAGTGTGAAGCAGCCATGGAAGCCCTTGTGGCTTTAATTCCTGTAACTGCTGAAGTAGATGTGCCCTTTGACCTTCACCACTACATCATTGGCCAGAAAGGAAGAGAGATACATAAGATTATGGATGAGTTTGAAGTTAATATACAAGTCTCAGCAGCCGGATTGCAATCTAATAATGTTTGTATCACTGGTCTTGCGGCAAATGTTGAACAAGCCAAGGCTAGGTTACTAGAAAGAGTTGTGGCTTTACAAGCTGAAATAGAAGATCAAGCATTAAGAAATTTTAAACTGAGCTTCACAGTAGACCCCAAATAGCACCCCAAGATCATTGGTCAACAGGGGTTAGTTATTGCACAGATTTGTTTGGAACATGAAGTTAGCGTCCATTTTCCAAGGAAAGAGAGTAATGATACACAGGACCAAATCATTATCACTGGATATAAACACAATATCATTGCTGCCCGTGATGCAATAATGAAGTTGGTGCATAAATTTGAAAGAACAGTTAGTGAGGAAATCTCACTAAACCACTGTGTTCATGGCCATATTATTGGCTTCCACGGGAAGGCCATTAATAAAATCATGAATCAATTCCAAGTAGATATCCATTTCCCTCCAGTATGGGCCAAAGATCCAAACTTGGTCATTGTGACTGGACTTCCTGATAAAGTCACAAAAGCAATTGATCACATCCTCACTCTTGAGGAACATTATTTGGCTGTTGTCAGAAAGCACGAGTCTCGGCAAAAGCAAATGAAAGGGATCTCTCCATGTGAAGTATCTAACGCTTCATCCAACAGTTCTGCAATAAAAGATGCTCCCTGTACTGCAAGTGCAAGTCCAAAAACCTGTAGCATAAACAGCTGTGAAGAGTTTGCCAGTTTCCAGCATGAGGTGGCTCCTGAGTCTCCCTTGGAAATGCAAACAACGATTAAAAAAAGAAGAAGAAGAAAGAAAAGAAAAAACCGGAAATCTGTCCAGACAGTTGACCTGAAAATGCCGTAAAATTGACCCAACTGCTGAATAATATGCAAATTTATTATACCTTTGTCTCCAGTACCTCCCTCCTTAAACACTCCAAAATAGTTCATAGTGAAATAGAACTGCTCAATTCTCTGTATGTACAGTAATTAACAATTTAATGTCTAATTTCTACGTAGTGCCTGTGCTTGACATTTCTTTTGGATAGACTATCCATTTTTAAATGTAGCTCATTAACATATTAAACAAGTACCACTTCCTGAATTACATGGTGTGCTTAGTTTGTGATTATTCACTTAATTTTCATTCTGAGATATAAAGTGTGGCAAGGAGACAACATCTGTGTCATCACCCCATGGCATAAATCTCCTTGACTTCAAAAATGCTAAAACTGATTTTAGTCTTTTTTACTTTTTCCTAAACTTTTTATTTGTATTACTCCCAATCTTCCCTTGTAGAACACAACCAGCTTTCTATCAAGAGCCAAGATGCTCACATAATGTGGCTTATGGAATAGAGAGAAAAATAAAATTTTGACAGTGTATTTGGATGCTAGGAGTGGTGTTAGATATCAAAAGTAACATACCAGTCATGTTGGTGGAGCAAGAATGGCAGAATTAATTAGAATGGCTTACTCATGGTGATACCTGCTCTCTGGGTTCTTGATAATTTTTCAGTTTTTACATCACCCAGACACACCCTTCAAATGCCTTCTTGGGGAAAAATGTCAAAGTGAAGAAGAGGCTCTTTTTATTTCTACTTGTCAGTGATCCCTTAGGTCTGGGAAAGCCTTGAGATGATGGTACCAGGTGTCATTTTACTCTGGGCTGTGGGACACCAATTATATCTTCCCACAAGATTGAAGCACTTATTACCCAATCTACTGCAGCTGCCAACAGAATCAACCTCACCTCCAGCATTGGTCCCGTCTGAAGAAAGGCACCTTGCACAAGGTAATGCCAACTTGTCAGGGACAGCCTTGATTCAGTGACTGGTCAGTACAGTGAAATAAATGCCCAGATTCCTTTCCACGATTCAAGAAAACTCTGTATGTCATCCCAGATGTAGAGCTAACTGAGTTCAGCTCAGTCCTTTGTCATGACTGCCTCAAAGTTGAAATAGACTTCCTCTGCCTACATCTTTTTCCTTCCTCCCCCTATAGGTATTAATCCCAAGATCACTTCCCCATAAACTTCCTGAATATAAACCTTCTGTCTCAGAGTCCAGGACATCTGTAGCTATTATACTGAATCAGTTTGTTAGTAAGAGAGATGAAGGTTTGTGGAGAGGAAATGTAGGCAGACATCTTTATCAGTGACTATGGCCAAATAAACAAGTAAGGAGTGAGTCAATTTCTTTTAAATAATCTCAGGCTCCCTTATACTTGCATATTGCCTCTCTGAAACATTATTTTAAAAAATACCTGTGTAACTCAATATTTAATACAATTTATTTATTTTTGTTACAGCATCTGCCATTAACTATTCTGCATGTCACTGTGAATTCTGACACCATCACTTCAGCTTGCAGTTTCTTTTTTAAAGGGGGCCTAGATAGCAGTCTGTGAAAGAGGTAGTGCATATGCACACCTGTTTGTTGTTGTTTTTGTTGTTCTTACATGCCGTCAAGTTGGACCCAACACATAGCAACCCCTCCTTGGGTTTCTGAGGCAATATCACTACAGAAGAAGATTGCCCAACCTTCCTTCCGAGGGTGGCTGATGGGTTTGAACCTCCAGACTTCTGGTTAGCAGTCAAGTGCCTTAGGCACTATGCTAGGGTATTTGCATTTTCATTTTAAATAGATATCACCATATTGTTCTTCATTTCCACCAGAGGTATATTAGTTCCTGGTAATCTATAGCTTCAGTTACAAGTGGTGTTTTCAGACTGGGCCAGTGGATATTATTTTTAAGGTAGTGCATGCATAATTTCTTTTTAAAGGATCAGCAAAAGGCTGGTCCCTATGAGGTGGAGATTAAAAATATTCCAAATGTCTGCCTTTTCCGAACTGCTAGGCCATCCCATCTTACCTAACTTCAACTACTGCTACTACCCTCAATACTCACCTTCGCATTTTAAGGTTCTGCAGTTCATTGGAATGTCTCACAGAATGCATGAACTACCAAGGAAGTAGTTTACATAGTTATGGTTGGTTAGTCCTAAATTCTTGGGTCAGGCATCACTCTGGAGGATTCTTCTCATTCAAGTACTTACTGTCACCAAGTCATTTCCAACTCATAGTGACCCCCATTGGGTTTCCGAGATTGTAAATCCTTACGGAAGTAGATCGCTCTGTCTTGCTTCCATGGAGCAGCTGGTGGATTTGAACTTTTGGCTTTCCGGTCAGCAATGAAGTTCCTTATCCACTACACCACCAGACGGGCTGTCAATCCAAATCAGCAGGTCAGATGATGGGCTGCTGTTTCACAAGGCTTCAGACGCTGTTTAATCAGGTCAGACAAGAATCTGCTTGCTCAAATCCCAAGAACCAGAGATCAGGTGATGAGTAATCAGATGCAGGGTTCACCAAGAGAGAATTTTGCCAGAGCATTTCTATATATAGGATGCAGACAATACCCTTAAACTAAGAATGGTGACTCGAGTCACACACTCTAGTAAGGCAGTGGCTCAAGATAAATCCCATCCTACCGGTACACCATGTGGTCCTCAGCCTATACGACTATGAGAGCAGAAAAAGTAGATGGTGCCCAGCTACAACTGTCAACCATTCGGTGTGTGTGTGGGGAGAGCCTGTAGGTTATCCTGAATAGAGTGGGAGAACAATGTGGAAGAAAACTCAAAAATCATTTTTTTTAAAAGGTCAGGTTTCTGGTCTGATAGAGCCTGGGAACCCTGTGACTATGGCCACTAGTTGCCATTCAGGTTGAACCCACTCCTGTGGCTTCTAGCCATACAAAAGACAGTCATATGACCTGAACATTTACATTAGGTAGATACACCCCTTGGAGAGATCAGTCATGGGAGAATAGAAGGGCTGTGTATGCACAGGGAGACAGCTCGGGGAAAGAGTGCATGGAAGGAAAGGACACAAGGAAGATGTAACTATGGGGAGGAAGCTGTTGCGTTGTGGGAAATTGCAGTCAATGTCATGAGACAAAGTATATGTGAACTGCTATATGAAGAAAGAATATGCTCTGTAAACTTTCACCCAAATAAAAAAGATAAATCTCATCCTAATCCTGCCTCATTTACATAATGGACAACTCACTCCCAAATGGGACCATAACCACAGGCATAGAAGATTATTTTTATTATTGTTAGGTGCCATCGAGTCAGCTCCAACTCATAGTGACCTGTGTACAACAGAACAAAACACTGCCCAATCATGCACCATACTCATAATCCTTGTTATATACTTGAGCCCATTGTTGCAGCCATTGTGACAATCTATCTTGTTGCGGGGGGGTCTTCCCCTTTTTTCACTGACCCTCTACTTTATTAAGCAGGATACCCTTCTCCTGGAAATGGTCCCATCTGACAACATGACCAAAGTAGGTGAGCGAAAGTCTGGTCATTCTTGCTTCCAAGGAGGATTCCAGCTGCACACCTTCCAGGATAGATTGGTTTGTTCTGGCAGTCCATTGTATTTTCAGTATTCTTCACCAACACCATAATTCAAAGGCATCAACTTTTTTTTGGTCTTCCTTATTCCTTGTCCAGCTTTCATATGCATATGAGGCTATTGCAAATACCAGGGCATGGGTTTGGTGCACCTTAGTCTTCAAAGTGACATCTTTGCTCTTTAACACTTTCAAGGGATCTTTTGCAGCAGATTTACCCAGTGTAATATGATGTCTGATTTCTTGATTGCTCCTTCCATGAGTGTTGACTGTTGTTCCAAGTAAAATGAAGTCCCAGACAAATTCAGTCTTGTCTCATTTTATCATAATGTTACTTATTGCTCCAGTTGTGAGGATTTTTTTTCATGTTGAGATATAATCCATACAGAAGGTTGTAATGTTTGATCTTTATCAGTAAGTGCTTCAAGTCATCTTCACTTTCAGCAAGCAAAGTTGTGTCATCTGCATATGGTAGTTGTTAATGAGTCTTCCTTCAGTCGTGATACCACATTCTTCTTCATATAGTCCAGCTGCTGGAATTATTGGCTCAGCATATAGATTGAATAATTTTGGGTAAAGGATACCACCTTGATGCACACACTTCCTGATTTTAAACCATGCAGTATCTCTTGTTACATTTGAATGACAGCCTCTTGGTCTATGTACAGGTTCCTCATGAACACAGTTAAGTGTTCTGGAATCCCCATTCTTTGCCATGTTACCCATAATTTGTTATCCACACAGTCAAATGCCTTTTCATAGTCGGTAAAACAGAGGTAAACATCTTTCTTGTGTTCTTTGTTTTCAGCCAAATTCCATCTGACATCAATAGTGATATCTCTTGTTCCGTGTACCCTCCTGAATCCAGCTTGAATTTCTGGCAGTTCTCTGTTAATGTACTTCTGCAACCCTTTTTGAATTACCTTCCCAGAATTTTTCCTGCATGTGATATTAATGATATAGGTACATAATTTCCTCATTCTGTTGGATTACCTTTCTTTGGGATGTACAGATACGGATCTCTTCCAGTCAGTTGGCCAGGTAGCTGTCTTCCAAATTTCTTGCCATAAATGAGTGAGCACCTGTAGCAGTGAATCTATTCGTTGAAACATTTCAATGGGTATTTCATTAATTCCTGGAGCCTTTTTTGCCAATTCTCCCTTCAGTACCATTACTTCTTGATCATATGCTCCCTCCTGAAATGGCTGAACATCAAACAGTTCTTTTTGGTATATTCCTTCCATCCAAACATACAGGCTCTCATTATTTTGCAGTTCTTCCCTCCTGTCTAGGAAAATACCACACAGTTCAGCTTATTGAGCTGACCTGTTCTTACCTTCTTTACTCAGGGTCTTTCCATCTGTTGGTCTTAATGTAGGAGCTTACCACATCAGATGTTGCCTATGTGGCCTGGAACTATCATCTGTGAACCAAGCAGCCT